ATGGGGCTTGGGAGTCCCTCACTGGTCAGGGGCTGTTCTGGCTCTGTGCTCAGGGGTCTCTCCTTGCCCCTGTCCTAGCTCCCTTTATTGTTGCTGTTTTTTAATTTTATTATTTTGTTTGTTTGGGGGCCGCACCCAGAAATGTTCAAGGCTTACTCCTGGAACTCAGGAATCATTTCTGGCGGTAATTGGGGAAAACATATGGGACGCCGGGGATCAACTCAGGTCTGCCACGTGGTAAGACCCCTACCCGCTGTTCTGTCGCTTGGGCCCCTCTGGGCCCTTTTTGAAGCAATAGTTACATTTTTCCTTCTCACTTTGCTTATGATGGATTTTGATACGCAACAATAGAGATATGTTTTTATGTTAGCAAACAATCTTTTCTCTCCGGCGTTCTTGTCCCAGGCTGTTGGTTGATTTGTCTCGGGTCTCTGCCTGGGTCTGAGGGCATGTCTGAGATGAATGAATTAAGTTGAAGCTGGAGAAATGGCAGCACTCAGAGAAACGGACCGTGATGCCTCTGCCTGCTGGGTTCCCCTCCTGTGTCCTCCCCAACATGCCCATCTGCTCCTTCCGTCCCGCCTGGAGCCCAGCCCAGCCCAGCCTGCGGTGCTGCAGGCCTCTGACGCAAGTCAGGGGGCTCAGCGACGTGGCGATGAGGGGACAGTGGGCCTGGAAGGTCCCTCTGGGCAGCTTCTGGGATTACCCCTTAACTCTCCATCACGAGGCAGATGCTGCAGCTAACTCCTTCTGGCCAATCAGAAAACAGGCTCAGGGCCGAGCGACAGGCAGCGGGCACTAGTAGTATGGCTGGTACAGTGGGAATGTTTTCCTTGCACTCGGCTTACCCGGGTTCGATCCCCAGCACCCCATATGGTTCCCTGAACCCTGACAGGAGTGATCACTGAGTACAGAGCAGGGTTAACCCCTGGGCATCATTGGGTGTGCCCCTCCCCCATCTCAAAAAAAGAAAGAGTTCAGAGAGGCTATATAACTTGCCCAGGGTCATGCATGCTGGTTCTGAGATGGGATCTGAACCTATCACCCTATCACCCGGAAGTCATACTTCCAAAGGCCCCTCCAGTGACCCTTACAGGGACCCCAGGGGCTGGGCACAGCCTCACTTTTTCTTCACTGCCGTGACACTGCTGATGCCTCAGATACGGAAAATACCCTCCACTTTCTTCCCGTCAGGGTTCCATGCATGTCCCCAGCATCTCCCTACAGGCACCACCCCCAGTTCTAAGATTCCGGATGTGGAGAATGGAGGGACCACTGCGGCTCAGCCTCTTTGCAGAGGGTCACGGATGCTCAGAGGGGCGGAGAGTCTGGCCTGGCCCGAGCATGAGGAGCAGTGCTGGGGGTCCCTGGGTTAGCTGTCCACTGCGGCTGCTCTGGGGCCCACGGGTCTGGTGACTGCTAATCTCCCTGCCGCTCCCCACCTCCTGCAGGGAGTCTGGTGAGCTCCCTCTGCGCCTGGCTCCGAGCAGGCCTCCTGAAACAGTGGCCACAGGCAGAGCCCCAGAAAGGGGCATCATAACAGAGCAGGATGGGGACCCAGGGGGACCCCCGAGAACTGCCTGGCGCTGCAGGGCTCTGCCAGGGGATGGCATCTGTGGCCGTCTCAGTGCAGGGTGTCGGGGGCCTGGCCAAGGACACCCTGTCTCTCCTGCCCCCGCGCCCAGTGAAGGATGTTCTCAAGATAAAAATACCCTCGGAAACATGCCCTGTGCCTGGCATGACCCGCCAGCCACCCTCGGGACTGGAACCTGCCCTGACTTTACCCTGGGCTCCGGAGTAGGGAGCCTGCCCGCTTGGGGCTGGGCCCATGTGCGGTGCCTACGTTCATGCAGTGGGGGCTGGGGGCCCAAGCACACATGTCTTTGGCGACCAGCACAGGGGTGCTGGCGGCCGGCCCTCCGCAGGCAGAGCCCAGAGCTGTTTGGGGTCTCACACAGGCCTCTAGGCAGCCGTGGACTCACTTTCCATCCGTGGGGAGCCCCGGCCCTGCTCTTGGTGGTCCAGCCACGGTGTGAGCCAGGAAGGCCTTCCCTGAGCCTGCATGCCCACGTGGGGCAGCCTCCATGTGGCCTTCCACTGTTTCTCCAGGAGGCAGGGTCCACCCTTTTTTTGTTCGTTGATTTGATTTTGGTTTTAGAGTCATACCTGACAGGGCTCAGGGCTCACTCCTAGCTCTGCGCTCAGGAATTACTCCTGACCGTGCTGAGGGAACCATATGTGGTGCCGGGGATTGAACCTGGGTCGCCTGCTTGAGAGGCAAACACCCTCCCTGCTGTCCTATCACTCTGGCCCCCATTGACCCATTTGTAGAGGGAGAGACTGAGACTCAGTCTCAGAGACAGCCGCAGACCTGAGTGCAGGACAGGGCTCGTGCCCCTCCCCAGGGACAGCTGTGACTGGGCCTTGGCAGCTGGGGTTTTGCCATGCCAGCCCCGTGCCCAGCACCCACTGCCTTGTGTTTCCCAGGGAGGCCGGTGGGCGTCGTCCTGAGGAGCTGCCCCTCAGGAAAGGAAGCGTTCGGCCCCTCCCCACCACAGGTTTCACCCCAACCCTGCTGACAGCTGGGTGGAGGCGCGGGCTTGGGCGAGGCTGGTCCGGCCTGTCTCGCCAGGCTGCCCTCTGCCGCGTAAGCCCCTCCCCACGGGGTCCCCTCTAGGCCACAGAGTGGCAGTGACTGGGTCCCAGGAAAGCACTGGCCCTCCAGCCTGTGGAGCTGTCCCCTGGGCTGCAGAGGCCAGTGTGTGTGTATATGTGTGTGTGTGTGTGTGTGTGTGTGTGTGTGTGTGTGTGTGGCCAGGGATCTGGGTCAGAGGTCCGGACTGGGTCTCCTGCTGCCACGTCACTGGTGTGTGACTGAGGGTTAGTTGTGTTTCTTCTCTGAGCCTCAGTTTCCCCCTGTGGAGAACAGAGCTCATTTTGCCTCTCTCACAGGAGAGAACAAGCAAAGTGGGGTTTGTGGGTCGGAGGAAACCCCTTTTCAGAAAAATAGAGGGTGGGCCACTGTGGTCCCAACCCCCCAAAAGAGGGGCCACATTAATAGTAGAGCAGGGAGGGTGCTTGCCTTGTGTGCATCCCCGATGCCGTATGATCCCCTGCGCTTGCCAGGGAGAGATCCCTGGGCACAGAGACAGGAGTAATCCTGAGCACAGAGAGAGGAGTCACCCCTGAGCGCAGAGACAGAAGTGAGCCCTGAGCACCACCGGGTGTGGCCCCCCAACAAAAAATAGAGGCCGGGAGAATGTTGGGATCCAGGCCCAGCAGGAGGGAACCAGCTCACCCATCTGCCTCGTTCCCGGCTCCTTGGAGCCTGCGGCAGCCGTCCTCCTCCTCCTCCGCTCACAGCCTGTCAGTGGCCCATGCCGTGGCCTCACCCGCTCAATGTGTTTCTCTGTCTGTCCATTGGGCAGGGCGGGTGGGAGTAGCTGCCCTGGTCACATCAGAGACCAGGGCACAGCCCCACTGCGAGGTCGCAGCGCAGGACGCTGGTCTCTGGGTGCCGCCTTTTCCCCAGCAGCTTTGTGCGGGAAGTTTGAGGGAGGCGAACGCAGGGCCCATGCCGGCTGCCCAGGGCGTGAGGAGAGACGGGATGGCAGGGGCTGAGCTGGGCGTCTGGAGGCAAGATCCCGGCTGTCCCCTCGCAGAGCCAACCCAGAGAGGAAGTGAGTCAGACCTCGTCACAGAGCGGGTGAGGGCAGAGCTGGGTTTGAACCCGGGCCTGTGTGTCTCTGAAACCAGTGCTGTGGCTAGCCAGGAGGCTCGTGTTACAGGGGTGACTCACCCCCACTTCTAATCCTAGCCAGAAAAGCTAGTGCCACCCTGGATGGCTGCCAGCCTCTGTGCCAAGAAAGGGCAAGACCCAGGGCTCGGGGTGGGCAGGCAGAAGTGAGCAGGGCCTCTCTAGTCGGCTTGCCTTCAACAAATGGGTGGAATCCCTTTCCACTACTCTGCCCCAAACTTCAGGAGTGCTAGGGAGGAAAGTAGGGAGCCCCTTTAACAGATGGGAAAACTGAGGCAGGAAGATTAGATGGACGCACAGGATGTGTGTGTGCCCAAGGCAAATCTCTAACGAGTTACTGATGTTCCTGTCTTTCTGCTCACCCACAGTCATAACTCACCCTCCCATCCACCACACCATCTCATAATCATCTCTTCATCCTTCCGTCTTCCTTCCTTCCTTCCTTCCTTCCTTCCTTCCTTCCTTCCTTCCTTCCTCCCTCCCTCCCTCCCTCCCTTCCTCCCTCCCTCCCTCCCTTGTCTTTTTTTGGTCTCACTCCTGGCAATGCTCAGAGTTTACTCCTGGCTCTGCACTCAGGAGTCACTCCTGGCGGTGCTCAGGGGACCATATGGGATGTGGGGATTGAACCTGTGTTGACCCAGGTTCAAGGCCAATCCCCTACCCATGTACTGTTGCTCTGGCCCGTCTTCCTTCCTTCTTTCCTTCCCTCCATCCATTCACACGCCAGCTTCTCGTCAACAATCCACCCATTCTTCCACCCTTCCATCCTTCCATTCTTTCCTGTGTCCACCATCCGCCCCCCTCTCCCTCCCTGCAGTGCTCCTTGGCAGGGCCTGGAAAGGCTCCACAGATTGTGACCAAGAGCTCAGACCAGGGCCCGGTCTCACAGCTGGTCCATCCCTCTTCTCTGGCACGGGAACAGTGATGGCTCCAGCCTCGGGGGTGGGTGTGTGGGTTATGCGAGCTGATGTCTGAGGGGGCCCACGTGTCTGGTGTGCAGCTGATGATACTTATTCGCTGTCCCTGTCTCTGGGGACCCATTCTGATCCTTCTTCCTTTGGTTCCGAAAGGTTGCTGTGGACAGTCATATGCTGTGAACGTCTGCAGCAGCTGAGGTGGGGCTGCAGGTCTCAGAGCCTGGGGAAGCAGGCAGAAGTATGGTTCCACGTGGAAGCTTCTGGCTTTCGAGCCATCTGGGGAGAGAGGCATCGTTCGTAACTTGGCGCTTCTGTGTTAACTTTAGGTTCCTCCCGTGACAGCTCCCTGTCTAGCTGGTGCCCGGGAAATGGCAGCTGCTGCCTGCACAGCCTTGAAGACAGACGCCCACCTGCTCAGCACAGTCACTTAGAGGACAGGAGACAGAAGGTAAGATTCAGGCCTCTGATGAGCAACAGCCTGCCAGTCCCCTTTAGTCAATCCATGTACTAGGTGGATGCAAATACCTGTTCATCCACAACTATGCTCACCTCTCTGCCTCTCACTCTTCATCCGCCCGCTAGATCCACACATAATCTGCCACCTCTCACTCCCATCTGCCTACCCAACCCATCCACCATCTTTCCACTTGTGTATTTATTCATCCGTCTGCCCATTCGCACAGCCATCTATCCACTCATTTGTCCACTCATTGACCCGTCTTCCAAGCAATCCATGTACCTGGCCAGGCCCATCATCTATCATCCATCTGTCAGCTCCACTTACCCAGCCATATGCTCAACCACCCAGATCTGTGGGCCTGCCATATAGCTGCCTCACACACTCACCCATCCATCTCCTCATCCATCCTGTTCAGCTGCTCATCCCAGCATCCTCATCTGCGAGAGGAGCATAATTTCTTCTGGGATAGGCTTGTGCCACCCTCTCTGGGCCTCTGACATAGGCTATGAGTGGGACATCGACAAGGTCAACTTTCACACCAGGAGGGAAGCGTCTCCTTAAAGGAAAAATCCTGGTCTGGAGAACCAAGAAGGTCTTCATGGAAGGGTGTTGTCCAGTTGCCCCTTGATGGAGATTTTGAGTCTTCTTGGGGGCTGCAATTTGGAGATTGCGCCCATGGGGCAGAGGTATCAGCAGATTCAGCAGGAGCTTGTTGAGGTGAGGCATGAACAGGAGTGGGGAGTTGGGCGAAGAAGAGGGAGCGAGGACGGTTCTGGAGGAGAGTTGGCCCCGTGGTGCTCAGCTGGCTGGGAGGAATTCTTGGGCCCACGAGCATGGGCCGGAGTGGGGGGTGGGGCACCAGGAGATCACAGTTCCACTGGGGCATAGAGGAAGGGGTCTCCCGGAGTAACAGGAGGAGTGAGCCCAGGAAACGGGGAACCAACTAGGTGTCTGTTACAGTCGCTGTGGGGAGTGAACCCGGGACATGTGCCTGACGTGCCCCAGAGGGGCTGCTGTGGAGAGGAGGCTGTATCTGTATCTTCGCTTACTCCCAGTATGCCAGTGTGGGCAGAGCATCTTCCAGCAGCCAGAGAGAGCTCCCGGGCCAGAGATGTGTTGGTGGCCGGAAGTGGATGTGGCAGGGCTGAGTGCCAAGCACCCCTCTCCCGATGTCTCTCTCTCTGCTGAGTCTCTGAGCACCAAAGTGGGCTTGGCACTCTGTGGATCCTAAATATTCCCAGACTGTAGGTAGAGGCCCTGGGAACCCAGGCAGGGGAGGAAGCTGAACCAGAGTCGGATGGTCTCTCCTGATTGGAGAGTGGAAATGTCTGTCTTGCTCTGGCTCTCTATTCCTGCTTCCTGCCAACTCGTGGCTCTCCCTGGTCTCACTTTCCCCCGGTCCCTGGTGGTGCCCCCTCCACCTCCTTGCATAGCGGTGCCTGTCACTGCTGGCTGCTCCAGCTTTGTCCAGGCCCTCTCTATCTCTCACTCTATGTGGCCGAGTCAGGGAGCCCCCACTTGGAGCCCCTGTCTCTGCATCTACATTAGGGATTCAGTCTTTAAGTCCTCATGCTAAGCCTGATGGATAGTGACAGGGTTAGGAAAGATGGTGAGGCCAGCGTGAATGGGTGAGAGAAGGTTCTTGGATGGATTAGTGATGTCTGCTGCGGGCACAAACAGAAGTGGATGGATTAGTGATGTGCACACTTGGGTGTGGTGGACACAGGCCTTACACTGGCGTGCCCTGAACCAGGTGATCACTTGAGGTGCCCGGTGCCTTAGCTTTCTTAGTAAGGACAGAATGGCCGGGGATTTTGGTATGGTTCTTACCTCTGCTGCTGGGACTGAGATTTGGGACATCCACTCAGGACTGCAAAACCTTCAGGTCCAAATCTGGAACCTGTGTCCTGCTTGACCTGGACCCAGGGAAGAGGGAGCCTGAGTGTTATTCCATTCTTCATACTGGGAGCTCACTCCCTAAAGGCTGCTTGACCCTGGGCAATGAGTCAGTCTTTGGTTTGGTTCGGTTTCCTCATCTGGAAAATGGGGATAATGATCATAATGTCATGGGGATTAAAAGAGTTAATTTGAGCTCTTGGCACAACTTCTGCCAGTAGCACAAGCTCAAGAAATATTGATTATCAGGCTCCCTCTCTGCAGGACCCATTGCCTTAGCCCTGACATTGTCTCTGGGTGCTTCCATTTAGTCTGTATGGTCAGGGAGGGCTGTCTCGCCAACCAAGACATTGGGCTCAGGCCTCACCCTGGTCCCCTCCCGGAAGTCACTGAAACCAGAGGTCGGGAGCCTCAGGGGACTGGACATGAAATGTTCAGGCTCCTCCCAGAGAGTCTCGGGCCCCACCCCAGGATCATGTGGCAGTGGCCTCTAAAAGCTCCCCATGCAGGCCGGGCAGTGCTCTGGGCACTGGTGCCAGAAGGGGCTCCCGACGTGAGACGTGATCCCGAGGTCAGTGCTGGCCATTGCCCTTGGCCTCTGCCCTCGGCCTCTGCTTGCTCTGCTTGCCAAGATCTTGCCCTCTGTAGCTTAGGACACGCACCTCCTGCCTTGCTCTCGTTTTCCTCTGTGCAGAGCCCCCTGCCCGCCATGAGCCTCCCCCTCCTGGCCTTTTCCGCCCAGCCTCTGAGTTGCCTGAGCCCTGGGGTGAGTCTCCGTCTTGGCCCTTCTGCCTCTGGAATGGGAGCCAGTCCCTATGCCTGTTTCAGCACAAGCTCTCGCATCCCACTTCTGTCTGAGCTTACCAGAGAAAGGGACCACCCTTGCCCCTCCTCTGAGGGTCACTGTCCCACACTGTTGAATTAGAACTGGTGATGGCAAGCGAAGAGACCTTCGTGTATGTGTGTGCGTGTGTACATGTGTGTGTGAGTGCGTGTGTGTGTCTGTGTGTGTCTTGTGTGTATGTATGCACGCGTACATGCATGTGCGTGTGTGTACATGCATGTGTGCATGTGTGTACACGTGTGTGCATGTATATGTGTGTGTGTATGTGTGTGTGCATGTGTATGCATGTGTGCGTGCGTGTGTGTGTGTGTGTGTGTGTGTGTGTGTGTGTGGCTGCCTGGATGTGTGTCCCTAGAACGAAAGGTGTGTTTGTGTAGCTGCGCTGATGCCTGGGTCTTCTGCTGTTCCTGTCTCTGTGGTGCTGTGTTCACCAGGCTTCCATGGGGCTCCCCGTGCCAGCGGCGTTATGCCCAGAGGCAAATGGGGGCGTGAACAAGGGCACGAGGGGCCCAGAAGACGGGACCAGATTGGGACCTCTCCTCTTTCTTTCTTTCTTTCTTTCTTTCTTTCTTTCTTTCTTTCTTTCTTTCTTTCTCTGTTCCTCAGTATCTGAGCTTGCTCAGAATCTGCTTCCAGCTCAGAAACAGGAGTGTGGGTGACCGTGATTCCGTCAGCTCTGTGTACATCGACGGACGAGCTCCTGGGTGGGCCCCTTTGCCACCCAGACAGCTGCTGCAGCCTCACCTCTGCCCGCCCAGAAGCTGGCTGGGGGCTCAGCCCTCCTGGCCTTTGACTCTTACAATTCTGTCCCTGCAGGCCTCTAGCTGCTCTGAGCACCAGTGGAGCAGCCATGACCCGCTGGACATCCCTGAAGGCCTTCCGGCCACACAAACCGGTCCCCTGCAAGCTGGTGACCTCCCGCCGGAATCTGAGTGCCCCAACCCTGGCCACCACCCCCCAGGGAGCCCAGAAACCTGGGGCTAAGCCGCCCTCCCGGCACAGTCCCCGGAGTCCCCGCCTCCACCGGCGCCCTGCTTCATGGCCCAGGCAGAAGCAGCAAAGACATTTCTGGCCTCAGGCCTCAGCTCCTCAGACCCAGGGTGAGGGGGTCAGCTGTGGGGACAGGGATGGCAGCGCAAGAGGCCTGCTGAACCTGAGTTCCCACAGCTGGAGTCTGTATCAGACAGAAGGGTTCGAATCAGTTCAAATGGGCTGTGTGGTTCTGAGGCTGTCACTGAGCCTGTCTGAGCATCTGTTCCGTGAGTGGAAGTGACAGTTCTCCTAGGGGCTCCTGTGGGGCTGTGGCTTGTGAGGAAGACTCAGAGCTCGCTGATGGGTCCGGCCTGCCCTCGGTGCTTTGAGGAGCTGCTTTGTGTAGGCACAGAGGGGTCCTGAGTCTGCAGGCCCTGGGCATCCAGCACCAGGCCAGCTGCAGGAGCAAACGCTGGCAAGGCTCTGCCTGTGCAATCCCCACCCCCCTCACCTATCTCCCCGGCAACCCGTGCAGAGTGCAGAGGTCACCCCTTCTCCCATCCAGGTTCTGGCTGCACCTGGTTGCACAGACCAGGCCTAAAAACCAGGGTGACCCCCTCCTATTTCCTGGCCTCCGCAATACAGGACGCTGAGGGAGCCTGCACGAGGGGACAGCTGGGGCCTGGCGCCCGGGGCTACCTGCTGAGGCCTCCTTGTCCCTGGATAGGTTGCTGCCTCCTGGGCACCCAAGATTTCTGGTTCTCATGTCAAAGTGAGACTGGCTGGGGGTCGGGGTAGCGGGGAGGCACTCCTCCTCCCACCCCCACTTCCCCAGCAGGCTGCTGTGCTTCGTGGTGAGGGCCACGTGACCTCTGTGCCCCCAGGGCCCCATCTGCACAGGGGGGCCTGGCACTGGCGTCTGTGTCCGTGTCCCTGTCCATGTCCTTGAGGGCCAGGTGCGGGTGCAGGTCTGTTCGGGCTCAGGCGCAGTGCTGTGGGGTGTGCCGGATTCCTGGGGCGCAGGAGCCGCGTGCGTGCAGGACCCTGAGCCCCCTCTGTGCTCCCCACCCACTTCTACTTAGCTCTGTGAAAGGCTGAGCCCAGTGCGCTGTTGCCTCTTGACGCCCCTTCCTTCCTTCTGGTGACAAGGAGGCCACAGGCATAGCAGAGGCTCAGAGCGCGAGCCTCGGGAGAGGGTGTCCGCAGGCCAGCCCACCCTGAGCCCAGGAGAGACGGCAGTGAGCTGGCAGCAGACTCGTGTGCGAGGAGGCGCAACGCAGCTGTGGGCAGCAGGCCTCGTGCTTGTCCCTGCTGCCGCTATGGCCACAGTGCTTGGCAGAAACTGGAAGTGCAGCATGGCAGGGAGACTTGAGTGGGCTACAGGCTGCCGAGGGCGTGGGGAGCCCTCTGGGGACACCCCGTGGCATCGGAGCCAGGCCTGGGAGAGGGTAGAGGAAAGTGGGGGAGTGAGAGCCAGGGTCTGTGGAAGCTGTGGGCCTCTCCTGTCATGGAATGGGCAGGGAGCCCGTTGTCTGGCTGCTCTGCCGGTAGAGGAGTGACGAGGGGCCGGATAGGACAGCTGACTGGGCATTTGCTTTGAACGTGACTGACTCAGGGCCCATCCCCGGTACTTCCTGTGGTCCCCTGAGCCTGCCAGGAGTGATCCCCGAGCACAGAGCAAGGAGTAAGCTCTGAGCACCAACACTCAGAAAAGAAGGACTAAGATGGGGCGTGGGCCAGGAGGGCAGGACGCAGGCTTAGCTATGCGATAGATGCTGGATGCAGAGACTTGGGTGTGGGGTGCAAGGAACGAGGGGCGGTCTGGGAGCGCAGCAGGTGGCGATTCTCTCAGCAGAGGAGGTGGGTGAGGAGACGGGCTGGGGCGGGGGGCGGGAGCTCAGACAGCTCTGAGGGCCTGGGCGTGGGAGCAGAGCCGGGTGGGCGTGACCTCCTGTCCACTCTGTCGCAGGTGCTGCCCCGCCGGGAGCTGGCCTGGGGGTGAGCCAGGGCCCCCCCGCGCCCGGGATGACCGCAGCTGGCCGGGCCAACCCCTACAGCATCGTGTCCTCGGAGGAGGACGGGCTGCACCTGGTCACCATGTCGGGGGCCAACGGCTTCGGCAACGGCAAGGTGCACACGCGGCGCCGCTGCAGGAACCGCTTCGTCAAGAAGAACGGGCAGTGCAACATCGAGTTCGCCAACATGGACGAGAAGTCGCAGCGGTACCTGGCCGACATGTTCACCACCTGCGTGGACATCCGCTGGCGCTACATGCTGCTCATCTTCTCGCTGGCCTTCCTGGCCTCCTGGCTGCTCTTCGGCGTCATCTTCTGGGTCATCGCCGTGGCGCACGGCGACCTGGAGCCGGCCGAGGGCCGCGGCGCGCGCACGCCCTGCGTCATGCAGGTGCACGGCTTCATGGCCGCCTTCCTCTTCTCCATCGAGACGCAGACCACCATCGGCTACGGGCTGCGCTGCGTCACCGAGGAGTGCCCCGTGGCCGTGTTCATGGTGGTGGCGCAGTCCATCGTGGGCTGCATCATCGACTCCTTCATGATCGGGGCCATCATGGCCAAGATGGCCCGGCCCAAGAAGCGCGCGCAGACGCTGCTCTTCAGCCACAACGCCGTGGTGGCCCTGCGCGACGGCAAGCTCTGCCTCATGTGGCGCGTGGGCAACCTGCGCAAGAGCCACATCGTGGAGGCGCACGTGCGCGCGCAGCTCATCAAGCCGCGCGTCACCGAGGAGGGCGAGTACATCCCGCTGGACCAGATCGACATCGACGTGGGCTTCGACAAGGGCCTGGACCGCATCTTCCTGGTGTCGCCCATCACCATCCTGCACGAGATCGACGAGGCCAGCCCGCTCTTCGGCATCAGCCGGCAGGACCTGGAGACGGACGACTTCGAGATCGTGGTCATCCTGGAGGGCATGGTGGAGGCCACGGCCATGACCACGCAGGCGCGCAGCTCCTACCTGGCCAACGAGATCCTGTGGGGCCACCGCTTCGAGCCCGTGCTCTTCGAGGAGAAGAACCAGTACAAGATCGACTACTCGCACTTCCACAAGACCTACGAGGTGCCCTCCACGCCGCGCTGCAGCGCCAAGGACCTGGTGGAGAACAAGTTCCTGCTGCCCAGCGCCAACTCCTTCTGCTACGAGAACGAGCTGGCCTTCCTCAGCCGGGACGAGGAGGACGAGGTGGACGGCGATCAGGACGGCCGCAGCCCCCAGCCCAGGCATGACTTCGACCGGCCCCCGGTGGTGGGCGCGGGCAGCGGCGCCCTGGAGCAGAGGCCCTACAGGCGGGAGTCGGAAATCTGAGCCGCGCCCACCCCCCAGCCAAGGTGCCCAGCCCGACGCCCTGCCGGGGAGCCCGAGGGGGCCTGGGTCTGAGCCGAGCGGGCCAGGCACCCCTTCGCGGACTCCGTAGCATCCTAGATGTTTTAGTTCTTCACGTGGGAGAGCAGGCAGCGGGGCGGGCGGTGCTCGGCCTCCGCCGGAGCAGCTCAGGGCAGGCAGGCAGCCCGGGAGGTGGGGCAGCCACAGGAGTGGGGTCTGTCACCTGCCATGGACCCTGCCCAGGGAGGGATCCACCATGACCGCCTCTGGGGGGGTGGCGAAGGAGGCAGGTTGAGGTGCCCCTCTCCGGTTTTTAGTTTGGGGAGAAATACTGGGTTTTTGGCTTTCTCAACCTTAGCTTGAGTAAGACTGTTTACAAATAATAATAATACTAATAATAACGTGATTGATTTTTTTTTTAATTCATGGGAGCGGGGCTGGGGAGAGGGCAGTTAGACTTCCATTGGCCTGCCGGGATACAGGCGGCCAGATGGAGGCTCCAGAAGGTTCCCTGGGGCTGGCCTGACTTCTCCTCCTGCAAAGGTGGACGGCCCGGAAGGCAGCCCGGTGCTCTCCAGGGCGCTGTCCACTCCTAGAGCAAATCCTGTTCTGTCTGTGTCACTGGGGAGGAACAGGGGCTGGGGAAGCGCTAGACGGAGCTCTTGGGCTTTGACTCTGCACCAGAGGGGCATCTCGGGCGGCCACTCAGAGGCTTTGCTTCTCTCTCACCCCTCAGGCTTTTGCAGTGGCCACCAGGTGGGATGGGCGGGTGGGGCTGTTGCTGGCAGCCAGTCGCGGTCCGGCTCTGCAGAAGTGGACGGGCCCTCTCCGAGGACACAGCATGGGTCGTGCCTTCCAGACCCCAGGGGTCCGGCTCCAGTTGTTTCTGTTTTTATGGAACTTGCCCATCCTTCGCTAGGGAGGTCTGCAGAGGCCAGGCTAAGCTGGTACTCCCACCTGCCCCCGCGGCCGGCCGGGCTGTGTGGACAGCGGCCCTCTGCCAGCTGCTGTGTAACAGACGCTCATACTTAGAGACGTGGGCTGCCAGGAGCGTGACTGCAGGGGTGCCTGTGTCAGGCCCTCGGGTCACCTACTGTCACTGACGTGGGCTCTGCTGGCCTGGTAGCCGGCCTTGGACCGGAAGCTCCCCGGCAGAGGAGACAGAGGGCAGGGCCAGGCTGGGCAGAGCATTATCTTCCAGGGCCAGGCCTGTCTGAAATTGGCAATCACTAGGCCTGTCCCTCCAGGCTGTGCCAATCTATAGCCCCCAAGACAGCTCACGAAGCTGAAGAAGTGATTCTCCAGCCCAAATGGGGAAATTGAGGCGGGCTGGACGGGGGGTGAATAAGACTGGGAGAAGGGCTAGGGCCAGGGGTCCTGCCTCTTTCTCCCCCCATCATTCCTGCAGCAGCTGGAGATTTGGTTCCGATTCAGGGACCCTGGGGCCTCTCGGGCTACGTGGCTCCCCTGCCCTGAGACCCCCATGGCCAGGCTCCACCATAATTTCTGGTGAGATTTTTCCTCTCAGGGTGTACTGAGGGTGCGAGGGGCTCAGTTCCTCCTGGTCCCAGTGCTACCCCCAAGCCCACTGGCTTTCTCAGCTTAGCCCTGGAGGGGTGGGGTGCTGGGGCTCCTGGGAGTGCTCACCCCCAGGTCCAGCTGAGATCATCAGGCTGAGTCCTGTCACCAGGGCCTGGACAGGCGCCCATGGCCCCCTCTGCCCAGTGGCCACAGACCCTCCCAGGGAGGTGCTGGCCAGCCTTGCACACATCTCCAGAGAGGCACTTGGGGCCGGTGCTCCCCACTCAGGCCTGGCCCCCCTGCTCCCCTGGACCGGCCAGGCCCAGCGCGGCAGGAGAGCAGCGTCCGGGGGCTCCAGCTAACCACAGGCAGAGGCTGTGTCTGCCCACTCCTCCGTGGGGTTTGTTTCTTATTTATTGTTTATTTATTATTGCTAATGACCAAAATAGTCTCCTTTACAGTGCACTTGAACAGGAGGGCGGGTGGGAGGAGCCCAGGGCGCGTGTGGGTCTGTGAGGGTGGGTGCCACGCACAACCCCGGGCACGTACTGTGTGCGTGCTGTGGCATGTGGTGTGTGACCACTTGTGTGTGGCTCGTGACGGCCTGTGTGCCAGGCAAGGGCGGGGACCAGTTGTTCCTGCCGTCGTGCTGGTCAGGGACGCCCATTGCCTCTGACAGGGAGTGTGGAGAGCAAGAGTTGGTGGAGCTGTGGCCTCCGCCTCCCAGTGCCCGGGAGACCGCAGAGGGGGCTCCTGACTGCCCTTTCCCCACCCCCCACCTCCTCCAGCAGCTCAGGATCCCGGGGCAGAGCAGGTGCGAGCCCAAGTGTGTGGGTCATCTCTCCTATGTGGGAGGAGCAGTGAAGCTGTGGCTTTGCCTTGTCGGTGCGCTGAGGGCAGACACATGGTAGAAGGCGAGTGACAGCTGCGTCTGTCCAGGTGTGTGCCGCGTGCCTGAGTGCCGCGTGTTGTACAGACGAGTCCTGTCCAGATGTGTGCTATTCAGATCTGTCCTCTACAGGTGTGTCCTGTCCAGATGCATACTATTCAGATATGTCCTGCACAGATGTATGCATACGGATGTGTGCTGTACAGATGTATCATGTACAGAAGCGTGCCGTGCACATCTGTGTTGTACGGATGTGTCCTGTACAGATGCGTGCTATTCAGATCTGTCCTCTACAGATGAGTCCTGTCTAGACGCGTGCCATATGGATGTGTCCTGTCCAGATGCGTGCTATTCAGGCGTGTCCTGTACAGATGTGTGCATACGGATGTGTGCTGTACATGTGTGTCCTGTTACAGGTGTGTGCTGTACAGATTTGTGCCCAGCAGAGGACTGCTGTACAGATGTGTGCATGCCTTCCCCACGTGTGTGCTTCTGACCTAATGTCGTATGCGTGGGAGCCCCCTGTGTGATATCCCATGCATGTAGGTGCTTATGTGCCCATGGGCATGTCTCGTCCGGGGCTTGGTTTACATGTGAGTCAGGCATGACAGCACACATTCGTGAGGAAGGACAGGGCTCTAGAGACGGTGCAGTCAAAGCCAGCTGCCCCCACCCCCAGGCCCCCGATATCGAGTGCTCATGTGTGGTGTGGCAGTGGCATGTGACGTGGTATGTCTGTGTGTGGGAGCTGCGTGTGTGGGTGCCCCGTGGGCATGGGTGTGACTCCCGGGATGGCTGGGTCAGCCTCTGTGTGTGTGTCCGTGGCTGCCCCTCCTGTGCCCTGCTGGTGCTGTGCCGCTAGGTCCCTGCACCCCGGGTCCTGGCGGGGGCAGGGCTGTGCCGGGAAGGCGGCTCCTGAGAGGGGGTTGCCGCCTGCTCTTCATGAGGTCAGAGAATGTCAAATCTATTTTAAGTGGTGAAACTGGAGAATTCTCATGTTATTTTCAATACATAGTGTTACCTAAAGACATAGGCCATGAGACTAGACCACATTAAATGCATTTTGATCTCTTTGAGTGCCGCTGTGTGGAGACCTGTGTTTGAAACCCTGCCCCTGCACGCATGCTGGGGCCTGCGCCCCACCACGTCCTGGCCCCTGGGGACGGGGCCTCGCAGCCTCCAGCTGCACCCTCCCACCCACAGACCCGCACACCTACTCCCACTCGCCCTCGAGGCCCGCCGGGGCCTGTGCTGCATGCCCTTCCTGCCTTCTGGCAAGCCTGGCCTTCACAGGCAGACGCGATAGGGCAGCAGGGGGCACACAGCCAGCTCCAGGAGTGTCGTGGTGGTCCCAGGAAGGCTCTGGATGATCTTCCCTGGGGCTGTAACTGGAGGGAGGGAGGACCTGGAGGTGGTTGGCTGGATCCAGGGCTCTCCCAGGAACCCTCCCTCCGAACCCCAATACTAGATTAGAAGCCACGTAGTCCCAGAGAGCTGTGAATTCCCCCATTTCCCAAGAGCAACACAGGCATTCACTCACACACACACACACACACTCATACACTTACACACACACACACATTTAACATGGCTCACACACGCCCTCTAGACTAACCCTTCACTGCCTCCCCTCTTTCACACATTCTCACAATACTCCCTTTTTTACACTCATACACACACATCCTCTACACACCCCCTTCTGCCCCCACCCCATCACACATCTCTCTCACACACAAATATACTCACACATACACACATGAAGGTACTGGCAGAGGGACAAAGCCATGCGGGTTCCGGGGCCGAGACCTCCAAGCCTACTCGGATTGGAGTCGAGCATCTTTCACCCAGATCCTCCAAATTCCAGTAGGCGGGGGGTCACACCCACCACCTGGCCCCCTGGCGCCGTGTAATCCCATCAGCGGCCAAGACTCAGAGACTATAAAATCCAGATTCCGGACGAGAACAGTGCAGTCTTCTGCCCCCGCGCCTGGGTGTTCCTTCCCGGGGCCCCTTGGAGGGGAGCGGGTTGAGCTTTCCTCCCCGCCCTGACCGGGGCTCCGGCAGCCGAAGACCTCCAGGACCAGCCACCACCATGCTGAGACCACTCTCCGCACACATGAAGGTACTGGCAGAGGGACAAAGCCACGCGGGTTCCGGGGCCGAGACCTCCCAGCCTACTCAGATTGGAGTCGAGCATCTTCCACCCAGATCCTCCAAATTCCAGTAGGCGGGGGTCACACCCACCACCTGGCCCCCTGGCGCCGTGTAATCCCATCAGCGGCCAAGACTCAGAGACTATAAAATCCAGATCCCGGAACCGCGCGGCCGTGCGACATCTTATCAGGACATCTTTTTATGACATCTTATTATCTCATTCCTACTTTGGACAAACTTGCAGGCTATCGAATGTAGCCTGCCCACAGGGCAGAGTCTGGCAAACTCTCCGTGGCGTACCAAATATGCCAAATACCAGTAACAATGATGGGTCTCATTCTCCTAAAGAGTCTTGAATATAATCTCAGGGCTAGGATGAAAGAGACGTTACTGGGGCCTGCTCGAGGCAATCGACGAATAACAGGATGATGAAATGAAATGAAATGAAAAATACACCCTTTACACACACAACCCCCCAACCACTCTCTCTCTCCCCCCATCCCCTCCCCATCACACACACACACACACACACACACACACAGCAGGAGGACAGATTAGCTTCCAGGTGGCATTTGGAGGAAGGATGTGACAAGCTCAACATTACCATGGGAGAACACAGCCTGGGAAGAGCACAGGATCTGTGTGTGGCGCAGCCATGTTCATCTTCCCCACCTCTCTCTCCCTGCCCCAGGGCCCTTGCACACGCTATTAGGAGCACTTTTAGAAATGGCTTCTCCTTCAGGAGGGTCCTGGCAGGGGCAGAGCTGCCCCTTGTTCCTTGGCAGCAGTGAGACCTGAACGGCTCTCCCAGGTCTTAAAACCAGGCAGGTCTTGCACCTTTCCTGCCTGAAACTCTTCTTGGTTTTCTGACACTGCAGATATGGTCCAAGCGCTTTTCTGGTCTGGAGGGACCACTCCATCTCTCCCTGCTTCCCTACATTCTGCTCCACATACCACCTCCTGTGAGTGCCTTGAGAATACCAGTTTCTCCCTACTCCAGGACCTTTGCACATGCTCTTCCCGCTGCCTGGAACACTTTCCCCTCAGCTCTGCCTCCTCATCCTCACCCCCAGTCTAGGCCTCTCTGGACCACAGGTAAGAGCTCCCTGAGGCAGGGATTGTCACCTCACACTCACAGCTGGGTCCCAGCATAGGTACCTGGTAGCTGGGTAGCATGAGGGAGCACAGGTTTCAGGAACTGCACCCTAGTGGGGTTTTGTGGGCCTATCCCTTTATTTTTCACCAGCCCAGCATGGGTGGGACTCACCGGCCACTCTGAGGAGAGAGCAGTCCACTCTGCCACAGGAACAACTGACCAACACGTGGGGGCCAAGCGGGGCGGGGTGGGGCCCCAGCACTCCTTCTCCCTCAGTGACTCCGAGAGCGCACGGGCACAGCTGGGCTGGGGTCTGCAGGAGCTGAGTCCTCTGCCCCGCCCCCTCCATGGTCAGGCTGGGCCTCTGCCTCCCTCTCTGAGAATAGGAGCCTGTCTGTTCCTCCCAGTGCCGTGAGCCTTGGGGGACTGGGGGGAATCAGGTTCTGCTGCCGCCTCTGACGGTGCGGGGGGACAGACCCCCACAGGTCTCTCGGGCAGCACCTGGAGCTGAAGCCCGGGCATCCTCCTGCTTCTCAGTCTCGGTGCAGGAAGATTCCCGGGGCAGGAACTGCTGGGGAGCAGCCGCAGGGTGTGGGGTGTCTGAGCAAACCCCAGCAAACCCAGAGCCCTCGCCACGGGGGTGAAGCTTACTGCAGCCCCTCACAGTCACACTCCGCAGGAGACCCCCCTCGGGTGCGAAAGGAAACAGCTCAGGGAGCACCGGGGTCACTGCGGTGTCTGCTGCTCGGCCCGCCCTGGCTGGAGAGAGGCAGACACGGCTTCCCCTGGACGCAAAGTTCAGTTGGGAAAAAAATGGGGCAAAATCAGTGTCCTGGAGCCCGAGTACGTCCACCCCGAGTGGTACTGCCAGTCCCGGCCCCTCCCTGGGCCTCGCTTTCACCACATGCAACCTGACACATGGGGACTAGAAATGAGTTCCCATGGTATGGAGGAAAGGACACTGTGTTTCCAAAATGAAGGGGAGGAGGGCTGCCCTGAGAGGACCGGCCCCCCGTCCTGATGAACTGCCCTGCCCGGTTGAGGTTCAGCTTCTCTCCCTCATGGCTGGCGACTGCGCCCTACAGAGGAGGTGGACACGGAGGGGGTTACCCAGTCCTGCGGCTTCTGCTGCAGCAGGTGGGTGCAACTAGTGCCCAGGCAGGTGGGAGATGCACGATGCACCTACAGCCGTCCTGGCTGGAGCCTCTGCGGGCCGGGTAGGGGTGAGGGGACACGCGGAGACGGGAGAGATGCTCCCTTGGGAAGAAAGCCGCTCGTCTTGAGAACAGGGGTGTGGGGACTCCGCTCCAGAGAAGGGCTGCTGGGGTGTGGCTGCTCAGGACTCCAGAGCACCCCGCAAGCCAGCAGACATCCTGCGCATGCGTCAGACCTCTACGGTTTATGCGCCCAGGTCGTGCCAAGGATCCTCCTCACAATGAAGAATCCTATTGCTCTGGCCCTGTGCGATGAGCCAGGACAGTTCTCCTTCCCGTCTTGGAGCCCCTCTGACTCACACATGCTGAATATGTGGTGCAAAGGCAGGACCACAGGAATAGAGCTGGAGACCTGAGACCAGAACTTCAGGCTAGGGTAGGAGAAGTACAGTTGCCTTTGTTGTGTACTGCACAACCTCTGAGTAGCATTTACAACCGGCATAATTGTGTACAACACAATAACTGCTGAAGGTCTTCTCTTCTGTCTCTCCCTGGTGTCTCAGGCCTCCCGAGGGTTCGATGGGAGGGACCAGAGCCCAGGAAGAACATGCAGGGAGCAGAATTGCCCAGCAGGCACCAACAACTTTTTTGTAAACTCATTGACAAGCTGGAAGTTGTTCAAAAGGATGGTGCAGACTCAGGGACATACACAGGCATGGATGCATATACAGTACAGTAAAACACAGAAATCCCTCAACCCCTCTCACATGCATATACACTAACACAGGTGAATATTGACATGTGGAGTATTATGCAACAGTGAAGAAGAGTAGCTGTCTCCTGCCTGCAGCTATCTGATCTCATGGATTAGACATTGAATTACAGAATTGTGCTCCCTGAATAAGTGAGACCTGATAGGTGCAAAAGAGAAGCACTTTCTGGGAAGGGGATTACTAGGATGACAGCTGGGTACAGACTCAAGAAGCCCCGAGTCACATTGCTAGTTGCCTGAAGGGGATCTGGCTTAGGTCTGCACAGAAAAGGAAGGCTAGTTCTCTTTCTGGAGCCCGCAAACTAGACTCAGGGCTCTGAGTGCATAGTTCTGAGTGCAGCTCCATGTGAAAATTAGGCCAGAGATTCACCAAGTTCTGATGAAACTCCAACAAGCAGCTTGGCAAGGAGTGAGCTGAGCCCCAGCCCTGGCAAGGGCTGGCTTGGTTCTGTGTGTGTCAGCTGGCCTGGGCATGTCTGGGACTTGGCGATCGTCCAATCCCTCATGCTGTTGACTTAGATTCAAAGGCTTCGGAGTGTTTCCTAGTTCTTGTCAGGATCCAGACACAGGAGGCTGAGAGGGGTTCATCTAGACGAGTGTTTCAACAGATGGACTCACTGTGGAGGATGGAGTCCGGATAATGGCTACCTCTGGGGGCCTGTGGGCCCGTGACTGAGTGGGGTGAAGAGCAGGTGCTGGGTGGGGTGGAAGGACAGGCAGCCCCTGACATGCAGGCCCCTCGCCGCAGGAGAACTGGCCTCTGGGCTGCAGTGTGGAGTGAATGATGGGTAGCAGTGAGGGGAGAGGCTGGGGGCGCTGTGGGGTGAGGCCAGGCTAAGGGTCAGGGCTAGTGGCAGGTCAGGTCCGTGACATTGAAGGCCAGGGAAGCGCCTCTCTGAA